CATGGGATTCAAGGGGATTCAAAAAATATGTTGTAAAGCAAAGTGAGAGCTTCATGTTTGTTTAATTATTTTCAATAATCATATAAAAGATAAGTCAAGCGAGCCTTCCAAAAAAGTATTGTAAAATAATATAAAAAATTTTTTTATCAGTTGTGTAACAATTTTATGACGTTCAACGTTTCCCCCTGTTACGATTTACAAAGTTAGTCATAATGTAAGTTCTATTCCTTTAAGTGGCCCTTTTGCATGATGTAATGATGATATCAAAGACTATGACATATAAACAAACAACTGCCCCATATTAAGATAGTGAGCTCTTCATGTTCTTGAGGCCAGAATAGAGTTATTATTGACGGCTAAATAGATCTTTTATGTTCTTGAGGTCGGAATAGAATAGAGTTATTCTTGACAGAATAGAATAGGGTTATTTTTGACGGCCAAATAGATCTTTTACGTTCTCGAGGTTGGAATATAGTTGCTCTCAATGGCCAAATAGAACTTTTACGTTCTCGAGGTCGGAATATAGTTGGACAACTAGTAAACATAAATGTCATATTTTCTACCTGGGTTTTATCTGAGCACGCGCGCGCATTATATGTAATTAATTTGTGCATATACATCATAATTTCTAACAAAATTCCGTGATAGCTATCCCAAGGATACGATTCTATCAAAAGTTTGTTGATGATTGGTGCGCTATCGGAGGTATGTTATGCGTACTTATTTATTATTGTAAAAGGGATTCATCTGACATAAAATTTATATAGCAATCGACAGATGAACATAGTAATTCAGAGATGATTGAAAAAAATCTTGAAGAGCTTAAAAAAAAACTAACTGTAAGAATAATTATTTTGGTAATTTATAATATAGATTTTAAAACTAACAAATTTTATCTGGGATCGTATTAAAAATCCCGCGTATCACACGCGTGCCCATCTCTACTCTCGATATAACGGAGACTATGTAAAATCATAATAAATACTATATACTTGATATAATGGGATTTACTAATAAAACTCATGATAAAGCGGATTTAAAAAAATTCCTCACTATGTGCTCAAGGTACTACGTTATATCGAGAGTGACGTGTATTATATCCAAGCCCACTGGACTGCTTTATTTAATAAAGATAACGTATTGCGTCCTGCCAACCAAAAGAACCACATCTATAATCTATATGCTAAAGCCAGGTTTATATACTAAATAACGATAATCACGAGTGAATAAATTTGACAAAAAAAAAAAGCATACTATATAGCAATAATAAATAGTTCGCCCCCATCTAAGAAACTTTTTTTTTTATTACTGTATAAAAAATTACTAGCTTAAAAGCAGAAGCAGCCTCCAATTTTGGAATATAATAACAAAAAAAAATTTTGGTTACTTTATTTGGTAACATACAGAACTTATTTCGGCAAGTTGTTTGTTACTTTTGTCCTCGATTTCAAATAATTAGTCTTATGACATTTGAGTTTTTTGCTCCAACAAAACTTATTCTGCTCAAACGAAGTGGTTTAAATTCAAAATATTATATCGCATCATAAGGTCAATACTGCAATAGCAATAAATTTTAGCGGGCAATAACAAGTGATTAATATTTCTGCATGTATAACGTTTATTTTCACACCGTTGGTCGCTTGTATATTATTATATCTCTGTCGCCCGGTTACATATATAATCAATTTTAATTATGATTTATTCTTTAAGATATCGTTGAAGTAAAAAAAGAAATCATATGTTTTTCGTTATTTTGATTTATAATATCGATATCACCAGTGATGGTATATTTTTTTATAGTTTAACCTGATTAATAAGCAGTAAGCCTTTTAGCCGACAAGCCAAAAATAACACTTTTCTACTGCGGAGTAGGTGTGCCTCTTAACAAATATGTATAATACCATCATTTAAATAAAATTCATTAATAGACAATCTCTATCACGGAATAAAACTCAAAGGTCAGGCTCAATGCGTTGCTTGTACGAAACTCGTCTTAAACGTGTTATGATTATCAAATTACAAAAGACTATTGTTCAAAATGACGATTATCGAACGATCACGAGATATCATTTAGTGTATCATAATATCTAGGGATGTTATCCTGTTCGTCCAAACTCAGTTTGGCCCTGTTTGAATCCTGAACCGGTTAAACTCGAGTTTTGTGG